TTAATAGGGTAGAATCTAGTGTTTCTGTAAGGAATAGTTATCTTAATTTCAGCTGAATTATAAAACACATTTCTATGGGTCAATGTGATAATATCTTGATAAGTATTATTTCTGGCAAAGAACTCTTTCCCCTTTCCCTAAGTAACCTTAACAAAGCTAAGCATGGTCAATATTTGCACAAAGTAATTCAAGAGAATGACACAATGAAAATATATTTTATTTATACCTATGTTATGTTTAAAATTTCATATATATATATATATAATTTTTAGCACTAAATGAGTAAGATTTTTTCATCTACATTTCTATCTGGGTTAATTATATCCCAGACCTCCAAACAAGTCCAAGCATTTACAAATCAGGTATTGAAAAATAAAGATGTAAAATCTATGCTTTTTCAAAGGTGGGTTCCTAAATGCCGTATTTGAAAGGGGTTGAATGGTCAATTATAGTTCTAAATGTGCTCTCTAAAAAATAACTCATGTTCTATTTCAAAACATTCTGTTTTAATCTTACCCAAAATATAGATGAGGACCTGAAGCATTTCTTCTATTAATGTATTATATTGTTTAATCAAATCCTGCAGAATTGAAAAAGAATAAATTAGTTATATAAGAACCACAAAACTCCATAAAACATGCATTTCTGGATCAGACTCGTGGGCCATTCAATCCAGTATTTTCTTTCAAAACACAGCACAGATAGTTATAAAGTGAATAGTTCTCTTTTTTGATAACAAATTCAAGAAGTTTCACAATATCTGGCACATAATAAGAACTCAATTGTTAAATATTGTCATTGTTTTCATTACCATTATCCCTCATATAGTCTTAAGTCAACAAACTAATTCTAAGCTTTAGCTTTTCCTCCACTATTGGCTTCCTCCTTACATGGGTTAGTGAGAAAGTAGATACCCGACAGTTACAGTGAGAGTACCCTTACCTAACACATCCCTTATTTAAGAATTACATCAAATCAAATATTCATTTTCACTAAGTGTAAAACACAACTAAAAATTTGCTTTGCATTTTATATCCTATTTACTGACCCTTTGCAAGTGACTTCAAATTTGAAAGAATAAAATAATCTGATTTCATGAACTCAAAGTAGTCAAAGGCTACTTTATAAGCTAGTACTTTAAATATTAAAACAATACAGATGTGACAAAACACCAAGAGACAAATTATAAATTGTAAAAAATGTAACAAATATAAACGAAGAATTAATATCCTTTTTAAACAAAGAGCTTTTACAAAAACAGAAGAAGGGTAAAGGACAAGAACAGATAACTCACTGCCAAAAAGAAAAAAAAGGCCAATAAAAATGGTAACATGGTTAACTTCACTGATTAAAGAAATGCAAGAGAGCTGGAACACATTCTACTAAGTGAGGTATCCCAAGAATGGAAAGACAAGCACCACATGTACTCACCATCAAATTGGTATTAACTGATCAACACATAAG